TCATAAGAAGATATCACTGCTAGTGCTCTTGACGATTCCACATGCCAACGCATACATTATTCAGAACCGCCACTCAGCAGAGCGTGCGAACTCACTTCTTCCTCAACGCGCCTTAGATCTCTGCACAATCTCGTTTTACATGCTCTTTTCACCGATGCGATGCCTAGTCCTCGTACATTTTCCAGCGTTCTTACTCTTTTGATCTATGTCTTCAACCTGCATTTTGAATGGAAGAGTGAAATTCTAGGTTCGAATTCAGGTCAGGTGTAGTAATAGAAGGAGATATTGGTAATTTTTGATTTTGATAGATTAACCTCGGTGGGATTGAGTTGGTGGGAGTGGTTATAGTAAATGCCATTGATTTGGACATTTGGATGGTCGTTACAAGCTTTGCTTGTCAAAAATCAATTTTGATGATATGAGTGATAAGGTTCGGAAATTTTTCAAATTCAGAATGTACTCTGCTCACGAAAAGTTTTACTTAAAATTAGGAAAATATTTTTATGCTTTTTTATGAGGAGAAAAAAATGCAATAATCTTTTTCGTCATTTGAAGCCACTGCTGATGCATATACCCCTCCTTTTTCGAAACTGCGCTTATTGCATTAAAAATCTAATTCTGTTTTGAAACATTTACTGGCCGGTATATTACGGAAAATCAAGAAATCCAATTTTTTGTCAACAAGTTAAGAGAGCTTTTTGTACCCGTAGTTAAGAAGCACGATTTAGGTAACAATCAAAGTTATAAACAAAGTAATGAGCAAATTAGAGGTCAGCTTCTAGGGTGTCACAAATAACCTTAATAGAGCACGTATCATCATTAGGGCACATTTTGCAATCACCATTAACCGGCGGGATAATCGTTTCGTGATTTTCATCTATGGTTAGCATAGGACTTAGCGGCAAATCGGATGGACGTCGTGACGACTCGTGGTAAGTCGTGTAGCCCATAGAGTCGGTGTAGTCCTCAGGAGCGGCATCTTCGTCTTCTTCAATTATCATCACTTTGGCGGCAGCATCGCAGACCTAAAAGAGGGGAAAATTAGATGTTTATAGATAGATGAGGAAGACAAACGTAACTTCTTTTGAAGCCCGAAAACTGCCGGTTCGGTTTGACGTCGTTTTTGGCAGCTTCGTCTGCTAATCATTGTGGTTTTGTTGGATTCTAGCTCAAAGGAGCGGTGTCGCGTTTTGTTACGCACGCGATGGCCATGTCGCGACATCCTTTGCATATGGTCAGGAGGCGTTGGAATCAACTTCGGCAAACAGCCGTGGACGAACTGCCATGTGGGGATGATCAGACGAAGCG